CTTGTTCCCAGGCTAATGTCTCAACCTTAGAGAAATCGAATTCATGATGGTACTTCTCTACATGTTCAACTAACTTGGAGTTTGCTGTCATCCGTCTAATGTTCGATTTATGTTCTTGCATTCGTTTTCGATCTGTTTGACTGATGTATACATGTTCACAATTAGAACATGGGATCAAGTAAACTAATTTCTTCTTTTTCTTGGACTCATCCTTCCCTTTCATTATATGAAACATTATATTATATTGAACACCAAACTGATTCTATCGGATTAAGATCGCAATGGAATTTTGGACAGTAGATATAACTTTCATTTTATACTTGATGCCAAGTTGCTTAAGTTTTGTGCTCTACGAATATGAAGAAAAAAAAGAAATTTTGAGCTTCAATTGAGGTCTAAAATTTTTTGTTTATTATTGTTTTAAAAGCCGGATGTTATTTGGGCCAATCCCTACGTTTTGATCAATGAAATCATTTTGATTATTTTTGGAAAACTTTTATTGGTTGAAAGTTTGTATATGAACGTACTCTATTACCAACCGGGATGTGCGCATTTTTTCCAAACCCGGGATGTGATTTTTCTTTCCCTGATGTTCGTGGGAAACTTGATTTGACATCGAACATAATCGATAGTTGCTCGGAGACATTCGAGAGATGATTCACCAGTCCTTTCATCACTTTTAGAAATGTTGTGAAAGCAGTTAGTCATGTTATTGCGCAATCTGTCGGTGGCTTTTATAAAAAAAGCGATAAAAATTCAAGAATAGAGACATCATTTCACTCTTTTCGATGGCTACGATGATTGTTTACCCCGAAACAGGACAATTTCGACAGGCGATCACCGATGTAACCCGTAACGCATGTCACAACAAACAACTGCCCGTATTCAGTTTCATCGGTACCGTCAAATTGCATGGCACGAATGCGGCCATTGGCTATCGACAAGGCTCGGGCCACTGGTGTCAATCACGAAACCGTGTGATCACACCCGGCGAAGACAACACCGGTTTTGCTCAATCCATTGATCCGTTGGCAGACGAGTTTTTTACCGTTCATGTTCTTCCTCATTGCTCGACTATTCGTGAACATTACGACCGAGGCGATAGGATTGTTATTTTCGGTGAATGGTGTGGTGGAGATATTCAAGAGAATGTGGCTATTTGTGGTCTCAAGACGATGTTTGTCATCTTCAAAGTCAAGATTGTCAATCAGTTGCCGAAAGCCAAAGCGAGTGTCCATGACCCAGAGCAGAAGTATCCAAGGACGTTCTGGGTGGATCCGACAGAATGGGCAGATGTCAAATGGCATGAACGTGCCATCTATAATATTTACGAGTTTCCTATTTACACAATAGAAATAAACTTCAATCAACCCGAATGTTCACAGAACACACTGACAGCCATCACTGAACAAGTCGAACGACAGTGTCCTGTGGGCGCCCACTTCCAGCGAATTGGTCTTGGCGAAGGAGTCGTGTGGACCGAATGGGCTGAGACAACAGGAAATCTCACCTTTAAAGTCAAAGGTTGACAGCATTTGGTCACCAAAGTCGAAGGACTGGCATCGGTCAGGGTGAACAAGTTGACCAACGCGGAACAATTTATCGAATATGCATGCACAGAAAATCGAATGCATCAAGCGCTTGATTATATCCGTGAACAAATGGTATCAATAGAAATGAAAAATATCAACATATTTCTCAGATGGCTGGCCGAAGATCTCTTCAAGGAAGAAAGAGACACTATGGATATATCGAACATTAGCGCGAAGGAGGTCACTCGCGCGATGGCAAACAGAGCACAGCCATGGTTTATTGATTCAATATCTCAGCATCGAAGAGACAATAACAGACAGAAAAGAGGAGGGGAGAAGTAGACTATTTGGAAAGCAAAGCTATGTTGCTTTGATGTTATCGATTGTTGGATATTCATTCTTGCACTCGTTATTATGAAGGTTCTCTCACATGTACTCGCAAATGATTTCATTTCTGGGGGAGAATCTTTCTGAAAATCGATTTTCAAAAAACTTCGCCAAAAACTTCCCTAAAACTGATTACGCAATAACAGCTGCAGTCTTACATGATGTTTGAGGACAGCGAATCATGTAACACCTCCCCCCTGCAAAAAAGTAATTCAATTTCCCTACAGTATGGATCAAATCCCTTCTGCTGCTCCGGTACTAAGATCGTACGAGAAATAGAAGGGATATGATCCCTACTGTAGGATCATTGTTGAATAAGCAATAAGTTTTTTTATATACGATTCATAAATCAAACTCCAAAACCTAATAAACAGAGTTAATATTCTAAGCAACTTAAGAAAAACCATATACTCAACCATACAATAACTAAAACGCATGACAACAAATACACCCGCAACTACCAAATTTGAAGAATGAACCAGGGCAGAAATAGGGGTAGGAGCCAGCACTGGAACCGGTTGAGAAACGGTAAACTGGTCCGGTTCGGTCGGTCGGAAAGAGTAAGCGGACCGGTCCGGCCGGTAAACTGGACAGTTGGAATTATAATACAAACCCATGAAAAACTGGCGAAGTTTTTTGAAAATCGATTTTCAGAAAGAATCTCCCCCAGAAATGAAATCATTTGCGAGCACGTGTGAGAGCATCTTCATAATAACAGGTGTATAACATTTAACTTTAAAACAAGTGATGAAAATAATATCTGTCTTGAACATCATCGTATTTATTCTGACTGAAAAAGACGTGAAAGTTTAGTTTTTTGACAAAAAACAGGGTAGGTTGAGTCCGCAAAATTCGCAGTTTTGACACATGGCTGAGAGTTAAAACCATTGATACAACGGAACTTGATCACTTTTATATTTTGTCTGGAATATCCCATTCATGATGACATCAATGTGATTCCCAAAAAGCATTGATAACTAACCGACCAACTTACATACTGGCATTTGACATGCAAGTATTTTCCAGAAATAATACTTCATAAGGGCTTGTGCAAGTACTTGTGCTAGTAAAAAAATATTTGAGAAGTGATTCCTGTACTTAGACAAGTATATGATTTTTTTTATAAAGAGCATGACTTGAAGTACAAGAATATATGCTTAAATACCATCTATGCCGCTTATTGGTAGAAAACAATGATTTTCAATACAAGCTCTACCACCAAGCAGCTGTTTATATTCAAAAGTTGGTTTATATAGCAATCGATAGCTTATAAAGAGAGGAATTGATTACATATATTGCTGTTATTTAAAAGTGGATAGTGTAAGGAAAAAACCTTTACTATTTTACCACCATTTTCGGTAAAAGGGCATATTTTGTTAATTATTCAAAAAATAGAATATAGGCTCTGAGAATTTTTCTGATTAAGCAGTTATAAAGAGCATGACTTGAAGTGCACGAATATATGCTTAGATACCATCTATGCCGCTTATTGGTAGAGAACAACGATTTTCAAGTTGACCCTAATCGGAGGTATGTGCCACCTCCACAAAAATCCTGACTTGTCCGTGATACAAAAGCAGGGAGAAAGCGAGCTTCGAATAAATATCAGTATATAATATCGCCTGTTCTACGAAGTACTGCTTTAAGGGCTGAAGCCTGAGAAAAAACGTTAAAAGTTATTTT